CCCTTTTCTTTGTTGAAGAGGGTCTGTGCAATCCTTCTGCCTAGTCCGCCATCTTGCCCCGCCAAGAAGACTTCTATTTCATAATAAAAGTCCTTTCCTTCCACTAACCATAGCTCACTAAGGTAATGAGCATTTCTCTGACTGCTGTGCTCCCCTCTACATTTTATTTCCTGTTAACATTCAGATTCATCTATATCTAAAAGATATTTTCTCACACACACACACACACACACACACACATCTCATTCTAAATAACAGATATTTATGTGTGTATATAAATTATAAGGAGTGTTGCTGGCAGTTCTAAACATACCAGCCACTCTGGAGGAGAAAAGATGTAGCAGCAGTCAATTTCTGTAAAGATTTACAGATTTGGAAACCCTGTGGGGTAGTTCTACTGTCCTATAGGGCAGCTGTGAGTCAGAAATTACTCGATGGCAGTGTGTTTGGTTTCTTTATATAAACTATACATACACACACACACACACACACACAAAGGAGCTTTGGTGGCCTAGTGCCTAAGGCATTTGACTGCTAACCAGAAGGTTGGTGGTTCAAACCCACCAGCTACTCCATGGAAGGAAGTCTGGGCAATCTACTTCTGTAAAGATTTACCATCTTGGAATCCACTCAATGACAGTGAGTTTTATATATATGTATAATATGAATATGTTTCCTATCTAACATCCAACTGTCTATCCATCCATATCTGTCTGTCTATCTATCTAAATTAGGAGCCCTAGGGCACAGTAGTTAAATACTCAGCTGCTAACTGGAATGTCAGTGGTTTGAGCACACCAGCTGCTTCATGGGAGAATGAAGTGGCAGTCTCCTTTCATAAAGATTATAGCCTTGGACTCTGTATGGGGCAGTTCTACTCTGCCACATGGGGTCACTACAAGTCAGACTTAAACTCCATGGCAATGGGTTTTACCTAATTAGCAAAAAAGGCAAAGCTGAAAAAAACACAGGGACAAGAAAATATTTATAAAATGTTACCTAACTCTGGAAGAACTATACTCACTGCCATCAAGTCGATTCTGACTCATAGTAACCCCCATAGGATTTCCAAGGCTGTAAATCTTTATGGAAGTAGATTGGCTCATCTTCTTCCTGCAGAGCGGCTGGTGGGTTTGAAATGCTGACACTCTGGTTAGCTGCCAAATGCCTTACCCACTGTGCCAATAGAGCTCTTTCAGAAGAACTATAGGATTTACTTTCAGTGCTGGAAGGCTCTCCAGTCACAATTTCATCCAATCCTTTTATTTTATTTAATATGTGAGGGAATGAAGTACATATCTTTCTTGCAATTTGTAGACAAAACCACACTTGGACCCAGGGCCCAGAACTCCCAACTCACAGCCAGTGGGTAAAGGGGCTTTTACTAAGGCTAAACAGTTTCAACTGATGTTAAGGTTTCCTTACATTAAAAAAAAAAAAAAAAAAAAAAATCCATTGCTGTTTTTCTTCAACTCCTAAATTATAATATAAACATCTTCAAAATCACTTTTTCTGGAGTTAATTTTTGCCTTCTAAAAACATAGTTTCAGAGTAGTGGATAAATCTATTATTTAGTTTATTTCTCAACCATGATTTTATCCTCTTATATTTCATCATAATGTAGACAACTCTCGAGAGGATTATAAACTGTACATTGTCTCTTATTTGAACATGCCTCATTTAGCTTAAATCAACTAAATCTTACCAAGGGCAAGTTTAGCCATCTGTAAGTTGTTGATCCAAGACTGTTTGATGGCAGGGGTAAATGTATTAAACACAGCTGTAAAGAAAGTAGGTCGCCCAGACCTGCCAGAAATAATAGAAAAGCAATGATTTTATAAAATGTGCTCCATCATATAAAATTCAGTTACATATTTTGTCTGTCCAACATAATCACCATACCAAGAATATACAAAATCATGACAAAGAACCATTTTCTCAGTGCTGACCAAGGTTACATTTCAAAGTTACTACTAACTTGTCCTGCTTTCCCGGAAGCTGTAACTGAATTCTACAGCAATCAGCAGCTCTGATTTCTTCTTCTTTCTTCAAAATAAGTCTTTGTAAACCTGATGTCCAATCATGGGCTACAGATTGGTTTAAATTCTACAAAAGAAACACAAATACAAATTTTAAAAGTGTAATTAAAATAGGACTATCCTAAGGATGAGAACAAAGCAAAGCTGTAACACGGAAAATTCAAGGAGACTGAGTATCAGTCATAACTTGCTATTAAAAAAAAAAAAAAAAAACTTGAGAATTATGTCACATTGTGCTATGGCTCAGACAATGGTAAGATGTAACTGATGAATAGATCAACTCTACTTGCAAAAACAAAAGATACACTTAGTTTCACTTTATCCAAGATAAGAGAAAACATACAATCAGGTCGCTTCTTAAAGCTGAAATGAATTCCCACTGTTGGTAGAACTTGGAGTATAATCAATCATATGCCTTCAGTGATTCAAAAGTAAATATAAAATTTAAATAAAATTGCTTTGATTATTACCTGATAGTTTCCTTTAAGGTTTCCTATCAGTTGAGTGATTTGACCAACTACATTCAAGTCATGCAATAAGTTTTGTAAATCTTGGTACAGTTGTCCTGGCCCCATGTAAACTTTGTCTATTAAAAACAAAAAGGAAAAAATGAAAGAGTACAAATCTAAATCCATGTGTCATTGCAATGTCTAGAAAACACTAAAATAAACTCTAGTTGATGAAGAAAAAAATGGAGGGTATTTAGAATTTTTCTTCTTCTTCTTCTTTTTTTTAAGCAGGCTTGGAAACCCTATGGGGGCAGTTCTACACTGTCCCATAGCGTCTCTATGAGTTGGAATTGTTTCAATGGCAGAATTTTTTAAATTTGTATAATTCATCATAAATGTGACATTTTAAAGTAGTGGGGAAAGATATTTAATAATGTCTATGTGTATAACAGTGGCTAAGACACTTGCCTGCTAACCAGACGGCTGGCGGTTCAAACCCACCAGCCACTCCTTGGAAGGAAGGTTGGGCAATCCTACTTCTGTAGTGATACTGCCTCGGAAACCCAAGGAGGGGTCGCTATGAGTCAGGGCTGACTTGACGGCACATAACAACAACAACAACAATAACTGACTTTCTGGAAATGGAGTTAAACATTTCACCTTATTATTACTATTATTAGCATTATTCTTCACCCAAGTTAATGAATGTCTACCTCTACTTAGTGGTTTACCCTCTCTTCTCCACACACCCATGGTAACCATCAAAGAGTATTTCTTTTCCTGTGAAAGCATTTTCTTGACTTTTTATAGCAGTGACTCATATAATATTTGTCCTTTTGTGATTGACTAATTTCACTCAGTATAATGTCCTCTAAAATAATCCATGCTATGAGATGTTTCACAGATTCACTGTTGTTCTAAAATGTTGCATAGTAGTCCATTACGTGCATGTACCATAGTCTCTTGACCCATTCCTCCACTGATAGGCATTTATTTCCATCTTTCTTCTGTTGTGAATAGTGCTGTGATGAACAGATGTTCATGGCACGGCTCTTATTTCTCTAGGATATATATCTAGTACTGAGATTGCTGGATTATATGGTATTTCTATTTCCAGCTTTTTAAAGAAGCACCATATAGTTTTCCACAGTGGTTGCACAATTTAACAGTCCCACCAGCAGTGTATGAGGGCTCCAGTCTCTCCATGCCCTTGCCATTATTTGTTTTGTTGTTTTGAACTTTGCTATTAGTGCTGGGTGAGATGGTATTACATTGTTGTTTTGACTTGCATCTCTCTAATGGTTAATGCCTGTGACCATTTCTTCATGTGTGATTTAGAAGTCTTAAAAAATGAGTATTTTAAAGATTTTTTTTCCTTTTATAAGTTTTTATTTTGAAATAATTTTAGATTTACACAAAAGTTAAACAAAAAAAAAAGGAAAAGCACAAAAAGCTCTGGTATTTCCTTTACCCAGTTTCCTCTACTGCCAACATCTTATAAAACTATAGTACGATTATCAAAACCAGAATATTATGTTGCTACAACACTATTAACTAATGTACAGACATTATTCAAATGTCACTACTTTTCTCATTAATGCTATTTTTTGGTCCAGGATCCAAACCAGCATCACATAATGCATTTAGTTGTCTCGTCTCAGTAAATCTCTTCCAATCTGGAATATTTCCTCAACTGTTCTTTGTCTTTCATGACCTTGGTGCATTTTATTTTTTAGAATACTAGTGAGTTATATAGAATGTCCCCAAATCTGGGATTGACTGATGTTTTCTCATTTTTAATTAATTTCTTAATCATAGGTGATATAATTACTATCAATGAAAGATATCCAGGAATGACATTTAATCTGAATCAAATTTCCAATTAACTGAGGTCTTTCAACATTAAAATGAGTTTCTCAACAAGCATTCTCTAAGTTTTTGATAAATTAGATAGAAACGATTTGTGTGCCATGGCTTGTTAGTGGGAATAATGCAATGCCTAGGATCTAAATGCCCAAATAAAAATTTACTCATAATTTATTGAGTGCTTAATACATGGTACAGTATTACAGTATATAATTTTCAAATATTTTCTTACTTAATCCCCAAAACATCTCCTCTCCCCATATACTGATGATGAAACTTAGAAATAGGTAGGATTTCAACTTAGAATTAAATTCAAAACCATACTTTAAATCAGTATGCCAATAACACCCTGTCTTCTTTATTATTCTTCATATAGTTAACTTGCCTAAGGTCACTCAGTCAGTAGGAATACAAACCCAGAAAGAAAATTAATTTGGGTTAATAAAGTAATAATTTCTTAAAATTTGTCTTTCAGCAGGGTCAGCTTCATGGGCATGTGACCTAGGTAGCCACACAGGGTCTCACTGCTTGGTTGGGTTAATGCTCCACTGTTGACATCTTGAAATTCTTAATAATCTGAACAAGGGACCTGCATTTTCATTTGGAAACTGAACTCCACAAATTAAGTAGCCTGTTTAATTCTAGAATAGATATAACATATATTGATATAAACTTTAATATATATATGCATTTCTGATATAAATATCAGATCTATAAAAATATTCACTTCTTAACTGAAGGTGAGATATCCATTTATAATTATGCATGAACTATATGTTAAAGACATGGTTACATGGATATTTATGTACTTGTATGGGGATTTTTCATTACTTCCTAGAAAAAATACCATTAACTACATTTTAAGTATTTTCATGAAGTTTAACAAAAGAAGTGCAAAATTTTTTAATAGTTACATATATCAAACTTATTTTTCCTTAAGAGTTTATAATGTAAAATATTTTACCTAATAACACATATACTTGCTCTCATTGATAAAGCTGATAAACTCAATAAATACACAAACCTTGTGATAAAATTATAAGTGCTACTTTAATTTTGTCTTTCAGTTTCTTGTTCTGTGGTGGATTGGGTGTTGCTGTGATAAGGGAAGCTATGCTACTGGTATTTCAAATATTAGCAGGGTCACTCATAGTGGATAGGTTTCAGCGGAGCTTCCAAACTAAGACAGAC